CCAGGCATAAAATGTACACTTACCACAATATATTCCTTACAAACAGCAGAACAAATGGTATTTGGTGCCTTTTTGCAGTTATGAAAGATGAAGGGCAGGTTTTACAACATTAACCTTGTCACACCAAAAACCTGGATCTTTTTCAGCTGAGTTCTCCTTTCAGCTATGCTATTCAGCTTGTACTGGGAAAGAAAACAGTGTGCATGCAGCAGAGAGACAAGGTAGAAAATTAACAAATTTTGCAGAGCATGGCAAGTGAATGCTGTTAAATCTCCTGCATCCCATAGCATTCTCCACAAGTTACTATTTACACAGAATGTTACACTGGGCCTGAAAAACATTATCATTTTGTATCCCCTAATCACAAACCAAAGTGCTCAGAAAAAAAAAAAAAGAAAGAAAAGAAGAAGAAACTGACAAAGAGCTTAGTGAAGAACTAATTTTAAAATACTTACAATTACATACTTAACTAAAAATAGCATTTTGTGCATTAACAAATTCTGATTATGAAGATGGATCTGACAGGCCCTGCTAGAACTGGAAACACATACATTCTCTCACACGAGTAGGAAGGGAAATTCCCCTTTGGGAAAAAAGGGAGCACAATTGTTTGAAGTGCTGCCCACAGACAAAAAAAAAAAAAAAAAAAAAAAAAAAAAATCAACAGTAGGACTGTAACACTAACTACAGGGAGCCCAGACCCTGACAAGGTCAGAGAAAGGACATTCAGCATAAAGCCTCCTTAATCTTCACCCAGGTGTCTGCCCCAGCCCATTCCTTAACCCCTCCCTCACGTTGCAGTGGATGACAAGTCCAGATTACAGGCAGAAAGGGGAACAAGAGAGCAAGTAGATTTGACATAAAACTACCTAAAGTAAATTTTAAAATGGCAGCTGCACAATGTAGCTCATAAATTTAGAATCTTAGAAAAAATACCTGGGACCTACAGTGGTGGCCACAAGATACGTGGTATGTTACATGGCTCTGCAATTCATCACCCAGTATCTTCTAGCCTCACTTTCTGGATTTGAAAGTAGAAATGCATGTTCCTTGGGAATAAAACCCGGGCCTTCCTTGTTGCTACTCCATCAGCTTGGATCCAATTCTGCCTGAAGAAAGTGAGTGCAGCACTACCAAAGGTTTGGTGAGCAGGGACAATTTAAGATTCAAGGCAGTTTAAATCATTCATTATTTAAGATAATGGAAAAGTTCTCAAGTGCCAAGCTGATGAAATATCTACCAATTAGCAGAATTAGTACTTGAAATAGAAGCAGCAGTGCAAAATGAAAACCAGAAATGCTTCAAATAGATTTTGGAAAGGAATTTGCTAGAAGAGAGGGTCATACACATGGAAATTTATCAAAATAACCCCAGTTTGGACACATCTATATTGGAATAAAAAATGTTTCCTTCCAGTCCTCCCCTCCTGATTTAAGCTCCTCTCCCTCCTCCCTGTCCGAAATGGTCTGATGCAAGCAAAATGCATGCATCCCCATTGCTTTAGTGTGTTAGGCTTACTTCAGCAAAGCATTAAAGCCAATTCCAACAGAAACAAAAATTGTGGGTTTTTTTCTTACGTATTAGCTCAGCATGACTCACACTAGATGCTCATATCACCATATATGACTAATATATCATTCCTCTCTCGTTTATGCTAAATCAGCAACAACATGCTGCACCTTGCATCAGATATTCACCACCACACATTTTCATGGTGCTCTTCGGAACAAAGCACGAGAGAGATGTATAGGCCTCACTCAAACTGGCCTAATATTATGTAATAGAAATTCCTACTGTATTTGTCAAATAATGCAGGATTCTAGCATAAATATCTCCGAATACCAGCAAAAAGGATGGGAAAGTTACCTCGAACAGAAAGTAAATTAAGACAAACTGGTGATGTTTTTTTCTCAATGAGCTTAAAGCCATTAATTTTTACACTAGTGTAATCATCAGTTTGTGGGAGAAATACTCTTTCCATTCTCGCCTACTATGTGGATATCTGTGGCAACACTCTCATGGAGCACAGTCAACCTGGACCAGATAAAGCCAGTGAAAAAACTGCAATGTATTTTCTCTCAAATCTCCATAAGGAATTAATTTCCAAGGTTTTAGAAAACAAACACACAAACAAAAAACCCAACCCAACAAACCAGGAGTCTCCATATCTGGAGGGAACATGAGAAACAGTCTAACCACATGGCATGTGGTCAGCAGCAGACTACAGTTAAAATACAGCATGCAATGCTTGTTCTAAACCTACATCTGATGTAAAATTATTTATATAGGAAGTGGGAGTGAAAAGGATACCACAAAGCTGAAAATGTTTGGTGTTCGAGTCATGGTATCTGTGCTCTGCACTACTGCAATGGGCAGAAAATCATAGTTGGCTACAAGCAGTGCAAGATCAGATGCTCTTAAGTCAACCAGTCACTGGCACAAGTTGTTTGTCAGGACTATCTAGGACGACAGAATCAGTGGGGCTAAAATTACAAGTTTCCTGCATAAGGAGCAATGCATGAAAAGCAGGCTGGTCACAATGGTGAGGCCACCAATGAGACAGTGAACAGCACAGAGACTGCTGCACAGCAGCCAAGTGTGCCAGTACTGCTCCAATAAGCAAATGGAAGCGGTAAAAGGTTACACTTCCGTGGGATGACTAAAGGGAAGCAGCACCATATGTGTAGACAGTAGGGGAAAGGAAGGAGATAAGCGTGTAGCCACAGAAACTCTACAACTGAAGTGTTAAGGATGTACTACAAACACACACAGACCACTACCTGCTCTCTGTCTTGTCCAAACTTAGCACTGAGGGGAAGAGACCTGTACTTTTAAAGGTCGGCATTATTGAGCAAAAGGGTTACTCAAAACACAAGCTTTAAGAAGAAATATATAATTTATTTCTGAGTTTTAAAGCTTATAGAAATGAGGACTGAAAAGCTACACGTGAAGATAGATGCTGTTTGGGGAAAATGGGAAGCTTAAACAACTCTTCTGAGGGCCCTCAGCCCAGGTTGGAAGCATGCGATGCCCCTCGTGGACACCGCTCAGGTTCATACTGCAGACCAAGGCTGCTCTAACACTTAGGAGCAGGGAAGTTGCAAGCAGACTCTTGACTGCAGGTCTCCAGTGTCATGCAAGAAGTAGAGAAGAGATTCCCAGAGGGCAACACCATTCACCATGTCCAGAGAATGCAATGCTCTCTAATCTACCTTCCGCTTTATCACAAGTATTCAATTATATATATCAGGAACAACATATACCATGAAGAGTTGAAGAATACTTCAAATCAGCTAGAAAAGCAAATCCAGCTTTACTCTTTTCACAGAGGAAGAACACAAGCTTTCCCAGGAGCTGGAAGTCTCTAGCATACAGGTCTACTTGTAACTACATGACCAGGAAGCTGTCCCTCAAAACCTGGTGTGCACATCATCTGTCCATTTCTGGAAGATTTTGACCCAAGTAGCACTCCCTGAGAGCCTGTTGGATATCAAGAATCCTGAGAAGAAAGCCATTTTTTTCTAGGTAGGTGACAAAAACTATGTAGACATATTGTTATCTGCTGCTTTTCCAGTTGCTTCTCCCCTGCCATGTTGGGATTTTGCAGTATGTATCTGCTGGTTCTCAGTTCACAACATTTGGGATCATCCATTCTTATTCCACTGGGATTTCACTGTAATGTTTTCCATATCAATTGATGCGACAACTCAAACACACGCTGTATTAGTGTGCATGTGTTCAATGCATGTCTGTACAAGAGGCAGGCATGTGCAAAGGCACAAAAGCTCACTCTTGCAGGCACGTTTCAAAGATAAGTATCTTAGGGCAAGAACAGCAGTTCCACGTAGCATTTTGGTCAAAAAACCCCAAAGACTTGGGTGTCATTAGGGCAGAACACAGCAGAACTGCAAAAATTGAGGTTTTACTAGAGCAGTCCCCAAAATAAACACAACTCCTCTGAAAACACCTCTTTCCCCAGCAGCCTGCTTGTACTGTGAGCCCTCTGGAAACAAAGCCTCATTAAAACGGAAAGGGGCTAAAAGAGCAGGAGAGAACAAGCGTGCTGGTCCTGCAGCGTGCCTGTCAGCCCCCCAGCATGGGGAGAATGAAGACTGTCCACAGTGCAAAACCAGGAGATGAACTATTCCACCTAACAGCTGTGGAGAAAGGTTTGGACTTCAAATGGAAATGCAAGCAAATAAACCAAACCCTACTTTCCCACGTGGAGGACAGTTATCCTTTGGAACAGTTAAGGGAAGACACTGCTCTAGCCCATAACTGTCTCTACTCCCGTACCAGATGGTAAAAGGCTACTGCCTGCAACAACATACAGCCTTGGGAATGGCCTATTGGACATCCAGAACTAAAGGATGACCATGCACACAAAGAGTGAAATTGAAATGGGGAAAAATAATTCCCCTCAGAAGGCAACAGGAGAGTGCCTGGCCCTCAGGGACATGGACCGAACTCTAACACAAGACTCGGTTTCCATTCTATCCAAACATGAACATCTGGAGGCTCCTCCTTCCCGACCCCTCTTCCCAGCTCAACCTTCAGCATCTGTCCAAGGGGGGAGACAAAGAGATTTCCATGGGGTCTGCTGGGTATCATCAGTCACTGACAATTGCTCTGTGCAATTTTCATACCCAGAAGCATTCTGCACTGAACAGAACAGACTAGTCAGAGGCATGTGTCACACTTGAGCAAGTCCTTGGTTTCTCTAACCCACAGCATTCACCAGTTCTCCATACTTCAGAGAAAGGGGAAAAAGAAATCTTGCTGGTACAATAGTGCACTTAGTATGTGCATGTGATGTATAAGGTGCATGTAAGGAACATTAAGATCCCACCAGGGGCATCATAAAGATACACTGAATGTAACAATCCCAGCTACAAGACAGGGCTGTGGTTTTACCCTGGAAGGGGACGGGCACCAGAGAAAGCAGCTGCCTTCTGTTCAGGTGGTGGGAGAGACAGTGAAATGGGAAAGCAAGAACTTACCTTCACTCCATCTGACAACTGCAAGAGACTTCAGGACAACCATCCTGCTAATTCCTCTCTAACAGCAAGAGACCTGGAAAACAAGGACAAGTCACTCATCAAATCCATCCTGATAGCAGAGGGTCACCCATCCTATCTATCGTTCACCTAATTAGGCAAAAAAGCTCCCGCTTTCACCATCACAGGAAGACCAAGTCTGAAATGAGACTTTAGAGCTCCTCTCTTTCAATCCTACACTCACACAGTGACCCCATCCAGAAGTGCCAGCAGTTACAGGGGGAAAAGCTAAAGAAATCTGCCATATCTTTGCCAGATCTCCTAATTACTGCTATTCACAGTTACTCTGGGGAAACATCTGGATAGCTGAAAGGAAGAGACTGGAGAAGTGCAAAAGGCAGCATCTGATAACTGTTTAAAAAAAAAAAAAAAAAAGAGAATGAGAAAAGAGACGGGAACTAGGCTGAATTTCTTCACTGAATGGTAAAGATGCTCTTCTGTGCTCAACTTGAACAACTGGCACTAGCAGTGAAAGCGAGAGCATGATAAGCAGACAGAGAGCCCTCAACAAATGCCTGGCAGAAGGCACACTTGGGACTGACGAAGGAGCTGCTCCATCTATTACAGGAAAGTGGTATCTTGACAATGACTGTCAACAGTAAGACCCCATCTACAACCTCAACAGATAAAAAACATAGCTTGCCTACTCATGAAGAATGTATTCAGTTGTTTCAACTTCTGTAAACAGCACGCTAGAGACCTACTGGACCAACACTGATACGCCTCTCCTAAGCAGCTGCTGGGAAGCATACGGGTCTGGGTTCTGGACCTGGATTTTAGCTCCAGCAAAGATGAGGCCTAGAGAAAAGGCAAGTCCTAAGACAACACTCACATGACTGCTGAAATACTTGACTCTCAAAGACACACCAACCAACTTGTGCACGAGTGCTCAGTCTCCCTCTAGAAGCAGCAATATTAGGCAAAAATGTTTTTGCAATATCCAAGCAACTGTTCCAAGTTTTATGTCAAAAGCATTTTCCACCCTGCTTTTCCTACCACATGATCCTACAGATATAGATTAACTAGACAGTATCAGCTAAGCTGGTGCAAATGACTACAGTGTCTCCTCACAGTAAAGAGGTTGCCCCCTATATAAGTTTATTACAATTTCTGAATTGGTCTTCCTAATTCTACTCCCTAATGCAAATATAAAGCTAGATCAGGAATTTGTCTTCATTCGCGCTGTCAGAAACCATCCAAGAACACTGGAAGAACCTCATGCAGAGGTTTTCTGAATGTGATGTGTCAAAACACAACACTCCAATGTGCACACATAGAGGCGGGCAGACAAATTGTCCCAAGCAACTCATCCGCCCTGCAACAGTTTCTTTGCTGAGTGTACACACACTAAAGCATTTTAAGACTGAACCTAACAGTTAAGTTCTTAACGCCTTCAAGGCATGATGAAGGACACCAGCTTGATTCCACAAGCAAATGAGAACACAAGTGACCTTGGGGTCAAAAGGGTTCCAGCATTTATACCACATGTACATCAAGGCATCTCACAACAACTGTTGAAAACAAGAAACTGTTATGGCCTTACAACACTTCAGAAGGAGTAAAGGATTCTGCAACTTAACAAATACCAAAAACGGGACACCCCTGAAGTGAAAAAAAAACATCAGAGAAGGGATGAAAGAGCACCACCATATGTCCTGGGAATGACCCAGACACAAACTGGGAAACAACATTTTTCACGCTTTCTGCAATATCCCCAGAAGCTCACATTTGTCTTTGTGGACAAAACACAGCTAAAATCACGTTCTACAGCATTAAAGCAAATTAAGCTGAGAGCACGCCGTGTGGCCCAGCGCCATGTAATGCTGATCCAGTGCTGCCCAGCGCAGCCTGCCCACCTAGCCCCCTCCCCTGCTTGCACCTCCGCACAGCACACACTGTTCTCCCACAGGCCTGTCAGCATCCCAGCACTGCAGAAGGAAACTCGGTCTGTGGTGCATTTAGTTCATGCATCAGACTGGGGTTTGTAAGGACAGCCGGAGAGCCCATGAAATGCATTCACAGGCAAAGATGACTGCAGACGCCTCAAACAAAAGGGAGGCGTACAGATTTACCCACAGGTCAACCTGTACATGTTATGAGACAGAAATTAAAGGGGATGCAAGTGGAATTTCTGCAGCAAGCAACAGACAAGACTTCCCGTAACAAGAATGATTTTATAATACAGGCAGCACCACCCAACACGCATCTTAGCAAAGAGACAACAGCAGGGGGAAAATCCAAGGACACATGAAGGTAGATTCTTTACTGTTGAGGAAATGGTCTTGTACCCATGCTCTGCAGCTTTCCAGGCATCAGATATTAATATTTATTTTCACCATCCTTCCCACTTCCTCTAAACGTTAGAGGGATTAATTTCCCTCTTCTCAGTGGAATTAATAGTTCCTCTATAATGAAGCAATACAAAGGCACACACTGCTAACCTGGTAGCTTAAAAGCACAATTCTGTTCCTGGTTTAACAGGACACCCTCCAGTTAATCTCTGAAGAGAAACACAAAAGGCCTCCCCTGCACACACCCCGTATACCCCTCCCTCTTCCCACATTTCTCAGTTTTGGCCTCCATAGGAAACAGCCTGGGCTCTGGACCACGCTCCTGGCAGAAACACAAATGCCTAATGTTGAACTCATCAGCAATAAACACTAGACACTCTGGATGTACCAGAGCCAAGGGGGGCAGTGGAGGAGGAACTTTCCAAGAGGGACTGAAATACCCACTCCAAACACAGCCATGGGTAGTGCCTCCCCCCCTCCCGCCAGCCTCACTCCTCTTCCAGAGAGTAGCCCTTTGCCCAGCCTGCCCTGAGTTTGCCCTGTCCCCAGCTGTCAAATCTCAGTTACATTTCTCATCTTAGTTAAGCTTCCAGAGAGTATTTTTTGGGATGCAGGGATAACACTGAGGTTGCTTTTGTTAAGCCTGACTAACTCATGATGCTAGTCTAATAGACAACCCAGCTTCTCAATACAAGCACTTAACACCACAAAGAATTTTGGACTTTGCCGAGACTTGATTATTAAAATAAAAATCATATTAAACCAACATAGAATTCCCAATGACGTGGAGCTGCGGCTTGTCATCCTCATATTCTCAATTCAAAGGAAGTCAGATTAACTAGTTCTCAACTTGATGTCACTTCTGGGGCTCACCACAAACCAACCGAGAGTCAGCATATAGCCATGAAGCGGCACCTCTGGCTATCATTACAAGCAATGCCCACGAATGCAGTGTAACTCAAGAGCATCTATTTATTAAGGACAAGACAGAGCAACGACTGATGCTTAACTCTCTGCCACGATGGCTATTTAGGCACAAGTCACTCTAGCAGTGGCCATTTAAACACAGCAGAATGATTTCACAGAAGAGAGTGGAGTTGTCTTGTATTCTCTACCCTCACTTTGGTTTCTGTCTCAGCAGTCCCCTTTCTCTTAGGTTCTCCAGTGACTTGCTATTGGAACTTGTTGCAATAGCAATTGCACAGGAACTCTGTCCACTAAGTGAAAGACCAATACAAAGACAACCTACGTGCATGGGATAACTGCCTGGCACAATTTACAATGTGGCCTCTTTCTCTTACTGAAAAGTTGATTTTTGTTTTTAATCCTGCTTTGCTATTAACTCCCTCTGCTCCCTAAACAACATCACTGTTCCAGAAATGTACCTGAGCAATAGACAAGCAGCAATATTTAACATTTCCCCCCTTAATGAAAAGCTTTCTATGAGGGCTTCTATTCCTCAACAAGACTAGAGTGATCCTGTTCAAAGAACTGCTAACAGGATAAACGAAGGGTCATGAAAAGCAGTCAGACACTTCAAAACACTCTTTTTAAAACAAGCAGAGAGAGAAGGGTAGAACCAGGTGGAAAGGCAGGTAAAATCCCAAACCATTAGGCAATGTGAGCCTTTAGGTGATCTGGACCCATAAGATCTCTAAACATAGCAGACACCTATCCAATTCATCTCATCAGGCACAGCCAATGCTGTGTGCATGTATGCACTGTGCACATACTTCCAATGCTTTGGGAAAATCTCAAAGGTAGATAGTGTTTGAAGATGCACATCCATCTCCCAGACATGCCCCCATGGTTTTCAGAGAAAGATTAGAAGAGGGAGCGTTCATTAAAACTAAAGCCTGAAATACACAACCCAGTGGTGTCCTTTTGGCATGAGCCACAGAGCTCCCAGTTCTCCCACTAGTGAATAATGGAGAAATTGTGTGGGAGCCAGGTGATTTCCTTCTGCTTTTTTCACCTCTGCCAGCCTCCGAAAACCAAAACATTCTCCAGCAAGACTATGTACAAAAAGCCAAAAAGCAGGAGCCACCCTGATAGTTTGTGACATTTCAATTAATGTTTTTAAACACCTTCCTGCCAACACAGAAATTTCACATCCTGAAAGACACTCTCTTTGCAGGTTTTTTTTTAATGCATACATACACACACAAACAGGAGCAGAACCTTGAAGGGTCAAAACAGTCTGAACACCCACCCTAGACTTTCGAGCCTGAATGCCCCGGTCTGTCCCAAATTCAAGAGTTGATAAAAATATGAAAGCACCTCTCTTGCAGTATTACAAAAACTCCATTTCCTGACAAACCAAGAAATGAAGAGGTGAAGGGCAAACACCACAAGAAAAGGCATTCACAGAGTTTTCCTCAACTTTAGAGAGAGGAAGATAACAGTAAAAGGAATTATTATAATAATTTAAATCCACTTTTAATGATAAATTAGACACTCAGGCCAGAGTGATTAACATTTAAATGCAGCAAATGAAACCCATGTGATTCTGGGAAGCTGCAAAATGGAAGTTTACTTACTGAAGTACACAACTTCACAGGCCCACACTGCAGTAGTTGAGCACCATTCTCTGAAACCCCTGACTGTTTCTTAAGCAACTTAGTAGATACAGAGAAATCTCTTAAAAACAACGTAATCTTTCATTAAATGTGACATCATCTTCTGCTTGGGAAATGGGGTTCCCAGTGATCTCATACTCATTTATTCAAAGCTCCCTGGAAACATCTTGATAAATTTTTCCCTCCATATTTTCACCCTTTGAATTCACACCAGGAGGTTAGTGTTCACATAAGTCAGGTTATACAAATTTCTTGTCCTGAATGGATATCTACATAACTAACACAACACAGTAGAAACTTCAAATATGTTGGTTGCACAATTTTAACTTTACTTCAGTTAAAGGAAAAAACCCAAATTCCACTCAGAGTATAAATATATATATATATATGTATACACACACAAAATAGCAACAATTCAGTTTCACAAGTACTTCTGGAAGGCAGGTATAAGAGTCCAGTGAAATATTTCAGTACCACTTCAGTATTTGTATTATTTCCTCCTTGCTCTTTAGTCAGCTCAAAAAAGTCTCTGTACAGGTTACACCAAACATGCACAGGTGTATTCAGCCCTTCTTTACTTACTTAGAAAGCACTCTGCTCCCTGGATCTGCCTCCAGCCTCTCTCAACCTCACCTATCTAGTTAAACTCCAAACTTCACATCGGAGTGTTAATAAGGATCTGTAGAGACATGTAACGAATTCCAGCTATTGTCACAAGCTGCCATAGTAGCTCCCTCACAAAACTGACTTGAGCAAGCAGTGACAATCCGCAAGAAAAAAGCTCAGCATCAGTTAAAGATAAAGTTTTCAGGCATAAGGCTTAATTACCTGCAATGTCTGCCTTAGGATCTATTTTGAACACAGGGTAGCACACAGGACTTGTGCTGAACCACTTGAGAGAACTGAATTTCATAGTGTGAAAGCTTGTTGAATGACAACTCCCCAAATTAACAGTTGCTATCCAGTTAGGAAAACAATGCTAAGAATTTAATGTAGTCCAGTAGTAAGTCTTGCATAAAAATTAACTTACAGAGAAAAGCCACTTCTCAGCACTTTGTGAAGATGGCTGTTTCTAAGATGAAAACCAATTTTGTCCATCCTTTCACTCAGTTTATAGCAAGCTTACTTACAGAGTTTTATCTACATAAATGAGTCCAGGCAACCTTAAATACCACAGCTATTAGGAATCTCTGAAAACCTTGCCAACTTTCTCCTAGTAATAAATTTAAATTTAGTTCTCAGAAGGTGATTTAGGAGTTTCTTGCATATGATCTAATCAATCTACAGTACCTGACAGTACTTCTGTATTCTGTAAATGAATGCAGATCAGATCAGTGTTTGCTTGGATCATCTGAACATCAAAAGCCACAAGCGAGCACTCAAATCATCCTGTATATACCCTGGTGTGACTCTACAGATCCCACAGTTTAGATTGCAACGTTCTCTCTTGCAGCTGAGTGAATAGGTACCAGGGTGTGGACAGAAGCTACAAACCCCTTACTATAACCGGGTCCCAGTTTCCTGACTTATACTGAAAGGAGTGCAACTGTATCTACTTTTAACAAATAGCCTACAACTGACCTGAGATACAATCTTTTAAAAAGAACCACAAACAGCCAATATTAAATCGTTGAATATACCATAACTGGGGAGAGGAGTCAGAACACATTGCTTTATCTTTAGGAACTGACCTGGGGCAAAAGGCACCTAGCAAGCAACAGATTACTCACAAAAGAACAGAAACTTTTTTTTTCCTTTGTAAAAAGTAAGATTTTTTTTGATGGGGAAAAAAAGAGAAAGAGTACTGCTACAGACTCTTTAAGCATACAATTCGTCACAAGGTAAAATCACACTGTCAAATGAAGGAACTCCACATTACAAAACGTGTGACAGAGGAGATAGTAATGACAACAGGATTAAAGAAGTCTTCTCATATTTCCTGCAGATAATTTCCTGCACCTAATTAATTGATACCAGGGTCACATGAGCCTTCATTTTCCTCTTGGTTCAAAACATCTGTGAAGAAGCTTTTAGAAGATCTCATCCCCAAACAGGAAGAAGCTTCTCTCTTCATAGATCTAGTTCCCTGTCTGCAGGGAATGGGGCTTTTAGAGGCCCACAAAACAGTGTCACCCAATTAGAGAAAATAAAACCCCCTTAAGGTCTTT